TCATCACTCCACCTTTGTTTACTTCCTCAAAATGGTTAAACTAGTCTAAAACGTTCCAATAGCAAGGAAGAACTTATTGTTCAGAGTTATTTCTGAGAGTGAATGGTGTTTTTGTCAGTAACAGCTGAAGCTAGACTTGTATTCTCCTGTACATATTTTTTTTCTTGCTCTTGACCATGTCTTCAGTAAGTTTCTTGATGCAAATTCTGCAATTGCGATTGCATAACTGAAGAAACCACATCGGCACCCATCATCTGCCTTCAGTTTTGGTACTAAGGTAATAATAGAAAATAAACTGAATTGTCCCCTCAGTTTACTCAATTACTTAAACTAGAAACTGGTTCTATCAAGCCTAGACAGGCTGTTAATTGCTTCATCTGTTAGGTTAGTCAGAGCACAAAATTAGCTAATATTTCCCATATGGTAACCACCAAAATACCATTGTTACCATGGCTATTGCTATAGCAAAAAACTGTTGTAACTTATCAAACATCAAATATTAATATAATTTATTCGCTGTTTTAAAGAACTCTCAGATTATTTGTATTAATTTATATCCCATTTTAAATATAATACATAATACTATATTGTGTATTATATTTAATATGGGATATAAATAAACTGTTGTTTTGATATTTTTTTTAAAATTAATTTAGAGCAGAACTGTTCAAGTGATGAGGGAAAATAGCTACAAGGTGAAATGGTGAAACACTTAAAATAAATGGCGACTTTTATATATATATATATATATATACATGAAACTCTAGATGGCGCAGGCTGATTTAGCATTTAGCATTAAATGACTTGTAACAAGCTGATTGGTTCATGTTGCATACACAGCCAATGAGCTTGCTGCTTTACATTTAAATGGCTGGTTAGCATTCGCTTGAGCATTGCAGTGTGCTTTCAGAGTTCCTCTGAAACCCTCCACCTTCCCCAGCTCCACCTGTATAGATCTGCTACGGATTCTTTTATATGCTATTTGTGCAGCATTATGTCTTAAAGTGCCCCTATTACGCCTTTTCGAATATTACCTTTCATGCAGTGTGTCATGTAGCTGTATGTGAACATAAACTATTTGCAAAGTTGTGAAACCAACAGTGCACGATAAATAAAGTTATTGTCTATCAAAAAAAAAGAGTCGGCTCGCAATCTCCTAAACAAGTCATCAGGAATTCGAATCTTATTCTGTTACGGCTGTACGTCATGAAGTAACACATTTGCATAATGTCCGCCTAAGTTCCAAATCAGGAACATCTTGCTATCACATCTTATAATTACGACAAACTTGTTAACACTTGACACTTACCACTGAGAAACGTCATGCTCCAGTCGTGCTTGCGAATCAGTCTCTTGTCGATCAGCCAGTTTAACCGTTTCATCATCAGACTCCGGCTCGAATTGGTAAGGAACAATCAATACCATATTTTAGTCTCAAGGGTTGTCATTCCGTCATGGCAATGGGCGTTTCGTTTCCGACACGGCTGTACGCGGTAGACCAATCACAAAGGACTGCGCCATCTGACCAATCACAGCAGTGAGGCTCACAGAAAGGAGGGGTTTAGAGAGACTGATTCTTCGAACTGCTTTGCAGGAGTCGTTTACGAATACTTTAGAAATTAGTTCAAATTAAATCTATTTTTTGAGAAAACTAAAGTGTTTTCTGACCTTGTATGATTGTAAACCTGTTTTAGGAGACTCCTAAAACAATATTAGCAACCTTAAAAATGGCATAATAGGGGCACTTTAAATACTTACAGCACCATATTGGCTAATGAATTGGCATTTGGCAATAGCAAGTTCCTGTACTTGCAGCAGCAACAGCAATCTACAAATACAGCAATAACCAACAGAAGCAGCAATTCAGCGGCAGCAGCATAGCAGATCTATTCCGCCAAGACCAAATACATTAACATTGTCATATACATTACATGCTAAAATCTCAAAAAAACAAACAAACAAACAAACAAACAAAACAACAACAACAACAACAAAAAAATATATACAAACAAACAGTGATTTTTCGTTAAGCTCGTTACCAACTGGAAATGGAGGACACTGGAATGGAAGTTTTGATAAACTAAATTTACACGACAGGGCTTGTTTTGAGACACTAAAGTATTTTTTTCATTGATATTTAATTTTTTTTTTTAATTGTACTGTCATTAGTATCTAATTATGGTTTTTTTTCTGTTGAAGTTGCAGAATATGAGTACCATCCGGCAGCGCTTTATTAAATGGTAATGTAGTGGTAGTGTATGGTAGTGTAAGCAGTTAGGCTAATTCATTATCATTAAAGAGTATTATGTTATTGTGCATTAGTGTCATTTACTATAGTAACCTAATACATTATCTCACATTTATATATAGTCTGTAGGCTACTGCAAATAATTCTTGCTTCAATTTGATTTCCGTAGTGAGTTTGTGAGATGCTACGCCTCCATCTAGCGGTCACTTCACATGACTACAGGACAGCACGCAGCAAACCTGAGCTAATGCACTCGGCTTACGTCCTGTCTGAGCATGCTCTCTGAAGTTCAGTCCTCGGCTGCCAAGGCCCCCAAAAATCCTCCAGCATCCTTGTTGCTCCATACTCAGATGTAGTTGCAGTTGGACTTAGGAGAGAGGTGGGACACGCTCAGAGATGACACTTGGATGGAGATTGTGGAGGTGAGGAGAGATGCCAGCTGTCATCTCTGTATGTGTTTTTGGTCTGTTTGAGAGAGTGTGTGTATGTGAGTGTGTGTGGTTGGGTGCCAAACAAACAAACAAACAAACAAACAAAACAACAACAACAACAACAAAAAAATATATACAAACAAACAGTGATTTTTCGTTAAGCTCGTTACCAACTGGAAATGGAGGACACTGGAATGGAAGTTTTGATAAACTAAATTTACACGACAGGGCTTGTTTTGAGACACTAAAGTAATTTTTTCATTGATATTTAATTTTTTTTTTAAATTGTACTGTCATTAGTATCTAATTATGTTTTTTTTTTCTGTTGAAGTTGCAGAATATGAGTACCATCCGGCAGCGCTTTATTAAATGGTAATGTAGTGGTAGTGTATGGTAGTGTAAGCAGTTAGGCTAATTCATTATCATTAAAGAGTATTATGTTATTGTGCATTAGTGTCATTTACTATAGTAACCTAATACATTATCTCAAATTTATATATAGTCTGTAGGCTACTGCAAATAATTCTTGCTTCAATTTGATTTCCGTAGTGAGTTTGTGAGATGCTACGCCTCCATCTAGCGGTCACTTCACACAGAAGCAGCGCTGAATCTTCTGTCACTCTCTCTCACTCCATTGTGAGAGCTACAGGACTCATGCTGTCCTCCAGCACACCCACACACACACACACACACTGAGACAGAGAGAGAGAAGACACTGAAACACACTGAAGAGAAAACAGAAGGATTTTCTGATTTCTCCTGAGGAGCTGCAAATAACCCTCGGAGAAGGATGGCAGAGGGAGAGGGGGGAGATGAAGAGATACAGTTCCTACGGACGGTAAGTAATGCCTTCTTGAACTATAATGTTTTTGTGGGGGGGACTCAAAGTTATTTCTGAACTAAAGAGTTTTCGCCTTTTTTGCCTGTGCATTATGGGTATTTTTACATATACAGCCCCAAACCACCATAGACATTGAGGAGGGCGCTCATGCCCTCCCTAACCCACCACCCCCAATATTTAGACTAGTGGTTAAGTAGTAAAATGCAAGGTTCTTAAACGTTTTCATCTGGTCCACCTCAATCTTGAACATTTGATTGCATCATTGCTGTTGTTAAAGTGTTTGAAATATCCCTGCATGTGATTGGAGATCTATTTGTTTGTTTTTAAATATGCACGCTCATTTATTAGTCAAATGCTTGACAGTGTGGTCACATGAGTGAAATTTCGCTGGCAAAAAAGATCCGTTGTCAATAGTGAAGTGATGTATGAACTTACTTTAAAACAAAGCAGTTTTCTGTTGGTCAGTGCTGAATCTTCTGTCACTCTCTCTCACTCCATTGTGAGAGCTACAGGACTCATGCTGTCCTCCAGCAAACCCACACACACACACACACACACACACACACTGAGACAGAGAGAGAGAAGACACTGAAACACACTGAAGAGAAAACAGAAGGATTTTCTGATTTCTCCTGAGGAGCTGCAAATAACCCTCGGAGAAGGATGGCAGAGGGAGAGGGGGGAGATGAAGAGATACAGTTCCTACGGACGGTAAGTAATGCCTTCTTGAACTATAATGTTTTTGTGGGGGGGACTCAAAGTTATTTCTGAACTAAAGAGTTTTCACCTTTTTTGCCTGTGCATTATGGGTATTTTTACATATACAGCCCCAAACCACCATAGACATTGAGGTTCAAAAGATCCGTTGTCAATAGTGAAGTGATGTATGAACTTACTTTAAAACAAAGCAGTTTTCTGTTGGTCAGTGTGGCAAATTTGTGTGAACAATTTGAACCCATTGCGAAATCTGCGCAGGGAAATCTTTCGCCTTCATACAAAAATTCCCAATCTCATAGATTCCTGTTGAAATGAATGGATTTCACCCGTGAAAATTCGCCAAACAATGGTAAATCGATAATCGCACTATAATAGATATTTTGTTAACCTCCCCATTCACACTCGTAGCCTCTTCAGGTGGGCTGGTTTGTTGAATAGTTACAATGGTTTTTTTGCACAATTTTTGATGGATGTTTTTGCAAGCCTGTTTCTCACCCTGTATTTAGTTGACTATTTTTATGGTGGCCCACATGTCTTTTGACCTGCTTATGGAGTTCATAGTCTGCTTTACAACTCAGTGAAGGACGACGACCCTAATCAGGGACATGTCCTGCTTTTATTATTGCTGACTGTGAACTCATATTGTAAGTGCTGCATATTTTCGCTTATTCTTCTAGAAGATTCTGTCATTCCGTGGATGTATGTGAGTGTGTGTGGATAGTCAGCGGCTGGTGCATCTGTTTGCATCGATAACTATTTTTACCTCAGGAAAGGAGAGACTTTCAGAACAGGAGTGGAAGATGCAACAAGCAGGCCAGCTCCTTGAGGGAGGACAGCTGGCCTCTGCCCCCTCATCTCTCAAACTGAAGTAGAGAGTAAGTGAGCGGCGAACCGCTTGGACGATCTATAGGGTCGGACATACAGACAAAACCAAAGGATTGAAAGATTGTGAAAAAGAAAGACCAAATGGAAGATTTGGAGCTGAGCTTGTCAAAGTTTTTAACCACTAAGTCAGTGGTTCTTGCCCAGGGGGCTGGGGCCCACTAGGGGGCCTCAGCAAATTTCCAAGTTGGCAGCAGGATAACTTAAAAGTAAATATTAATGAAATTAAATAAATAGAATTTATTTATAATTAAATAGAAAATTTTATATATAAAAAATCTAACTAAATTAAAATGCTTAAAAAACATGAACTATCAATAACTACATCAATAATTAAAATATGTAATGATTGTATGTATCAAAGAACCTACAGTTCTTAAAACTTCTAGAATCACAAACTGAATTGTGGTTAATTCATTTAATATTTAAAGCCATTGAGCCCTTTCTTTTATTAGAAAGTAAATGGGTCCCATTTTTGGCACTAATTCCAAAAAGCACAATATATAAGCAGGTTCAGAATGATAAATTATAGATTAAATAATAATTCTTATTTGATCTTATATATCCCCCCCCCCCCTTGACTGAAGTAAAATCACTGTACACACAGACCCATTTTAATTTATTGCTCTTAAAATGACAGCAACAGTATATAATGAAATATAATGAAAGTGAAAGGCACCAGTTCAATAAATAGAATAACTATTTATTAGTAGAATTATGATTTATTTTTCTTTTATAATAATATAATTCTATTGACAACAAGTGAAAATTAACTCTTTTTTTTTACATTTATTCAGTGGCCTAACTCAAGCAATGCAGCATCCAGTTAGAATTTAGAGTTGTAGCTATCAGCATAGATTTGTAGGTAGATGCCCTATTAGGGGCTGTTTCTATGGCAGATGATTTTCTAAACTAACACAATACAACAAGACGAAGCCATTAACTAACACAACATTCAAAAGGTAATATAGTTTAAAAACCTGTAATATTGAGTTAATACATATTAAAAATACAAACCAACCTGTGAAAGTTAACCGCATGCCCGCCAGCCGCTGGCCTTTCAGCGTTGCTGGACATGGCGCTGCCCCTGGAGTTCACTGCTCCTATCCTTACCCCAGAATTGGCTCTAGAAAGTTTTCCTTCGTCTTCTGAGTCTCCGTCATCTCCGCTGGTTCCGTCCAGCCCTCCATCGTCTATAGAGCGCCCCCCCAGTGCCAGCTCCAGTCCTAAAACTCACTCCAGTGCCAGCTCCTCAAAAGCGCTTTGCTGTGCCTGCTCCTCCAGAGCACTCTCCAGTGAGGGGGCCATATGCCTGCGGCCGTGGTGGACGAGCCGGCTAAGGCCACGGAGGATCCGCCATGGCCTCCCGAGGCCCCTGATCCGCCATGGCAACCCGAACTGCCTGCTCCGCCATAGTTCCCTGCTCCACCCTGGAGGCTCTCCTGGTCTCCGCCCGGTTCCAGTCCTGCACCAGCCTCCAGGGTGCCCGCCCCCCCTCCCCGATGATACTCTTACGGCGCGGGACGCACCTTCCGGGAGGGGGGGCGCCAGTTTGTCAGTTATTGTGAATGTTACCCCGAGTGTGTGTGTTTCTGCCTTGTTTTGTCTACATTAAAAGTCATTAGTGAAATCCTTGTCATCCTCGTCGTCCTGCCTGCCTCCACACCTCCGGACCGTGACAATCAGTTTTAGAAATGAATGCAGTTGATGTACTGGATGTTGAAGAGCATTCCGCTGTCTTTTTTTTGAGACGTCTGTCTGGAAGACTGTCAATCCATTTGTCCAGTGGGATCAGCTGATATCTATAATACACCCTCATGCCTCTTTTAGGAACGCTAATAAGGGTGTTATGTGGATGTGTAATCCATACAGTGACTCAGCATGTGTGGGTCAGTCAAGAACCAGCAGTTTTCTGAGGGCTCAACAGTATGTGTCCTTGGGGAAATCCTTTCAGGAAAGCCCATTGGCTTTCACCAACTGTTTCTGAGACTCTTCCTTTTTCCTTTTATCATGCCATGAACACTCTTTCATACTAAGAGTTGTGATATAAGAGTAGTGTGACACCCCTAGTGTTCTAAAAGAGGCATTACCCAATCAACAATGCCATGACGGCATTTTAATGCAGCTCCAGAATCACATGGCATTTACAACTCAGATGATTGACTCAAACAAGTGCCAAAGTTCAAAGATGACATATTTCAAAGGGGGTCCTGCACCAGCCAAGCAACTGCTGTTGAGATGAATAATGGTGAGCTTTCTCCAGACTGTACTGAGCTCCTTAAAGGTGCTGAAAATAAAGAGATGGAAAATAGAGAGAGAATAGCATCAGTGGCGTTGAAGTGCATTTGAGGGGGTTTCAGGCTATAACAGCAGTTTCCTTTTATAGTTTCACCACTATAAGCGGCTGACACTCTGGAGGGAGAGCAAGATATTCTGTGTCCTACTTCATCTTTGCTTGAATCCATAGGGAGGACAGCGAGTGTGTGTGTATGTGCTTTTTACATGTGTGTGTTGCACATGAAGCATAAAAGAAATTAATCACTTCTGTAATAAATTCTACACTCTTCAAAATGAAAGTGACATGACATGCCAAGTATGGTGTCCCATACTCGGAATTTGTGCTCTGCATTTAACCCATACAAGTACACATACACAGCAGTGAGTAGTGAACACACACACACCTTGTACACACATCAGGAGCAGTGGGCAGCCATTTTTGCTGTGGTGCCCGGCGAGCAGTTGGGGGTTCGTTGCCTTGCTCAAGGGTCTCACCTCAGTCGTGGTATTCAGGGTGGAAGAGAGCCGGTACCGAGACTCGAACCTGTGACCTTTGGGTTACAAGTCTGACTCTCTAACTATTAGGTTCTTTATTGGCACCTTTGGTTCCATGTAGAACCTTTAACAACCTTTCTATTGCATGAAACATTCTTTATAATGGAAAACAGTTATTTAGATCATTAAAATGTTCTTCACATTAAGAAAAAATGGTTTAGAGGCTGCTGTTATGTATTAACCATTGAAACATCTCACATTCTTAGTAGTAATATGTTATTTTGGGGTTTTATGCTATGTTACTCTTTAACATGTTGTAAGTTTTCTCCCTAAACACCAAATCTGTGATGACTGGCCTCAGAAATGAGGAGAGAAGGATTTAGAAGCACTAATTTTAGTGCTCAGTTATGCAGATAGGGCTCACAATAAGGGCCTGTCTGTCACAGTGGACTCTTCATGGGTGGAAAGAGAGGTGTGAGGTGTGTGTGTTTGATGGAGGATTGGACTATGAGCTCTTCAGAAGATTCCACAGGTCTTGAATGTGTAAAGCAGGAGTCTTCCTTAGGCTTATGTTTTGCTTAGCCCACAGATGATCAGATCTACACCTCAGCCCTAACAGACCATCTGTTCATTGACAGCCAGGGTTTATGTGTGCTGTCATGACCACATCTTACACAATAAACAGGTGTTCCTTCTGCTAGCACTCCAGTGCCTTTAAAGAGAAGAATCACTTACGTCAGCCACAAACTTTAACCGACCCCTGAGTCCACTACTGTACTGTAATGTGTGCAGGAAGATTACTCATGGCTCAAATTATAATGCAGATGTGCCAGCAGCCAGCTTCATACTGTATCTTTAATGTTCCTTATTTGTAAGTCCCTTTGGATAGAAGGGTCTTGCTAAATGCCTAAATGTAAATGTAGATCTTGGCATCAACATAAATATAGGACATTAAAAAGTTAAACCATATCATTGTAGAATATTTTATCTACTCGTTAATATTGATAATATCTAAATATGTTTTAGTCATCATTTCATTAAGTTTATGAAATTAGTGCCAAAAATAGGCTAATTTCTTTCATTATTATGCTATGTTCACTCTTAAAAATTACAAAAGGGGATTTTTGCACTGATGCCTTAGAACAACCAATTTGGGTTCTCCAAAGAACCTTCAGGAAACCAGGAAACAGTTCTTAAAATATTTTTTTAATGATCTAAAAAGAACAGCTGTAGAATACTGGACAATATTAAAGTAATAGTTCACTCAAAAATGAAAATCTGTCATCATTAATCATTCTCATGTCTTTCCAAACCTGCATGACTTTCTTTCTTCTTCGGAGCACAAGATATTTTGAAGACTTGGGAACCAAACCATTTAGAATTTTCATTTTTGGGTGAACTGTCTCTTTACTGTGGAAATGAAACTCTTGCTTGTTGGATAAACAAAGTTTCAAGATTAATTGGTAAATGTTAAGTTTATCTAAACTAGGGGTGCGCAAACTTGATCCTGGAGGGCCGGTGTCCTACAGAGTTTAGCTACAACTTGCCTCCACACACCTGCTGGGAAGTTTCTAGTATGCCTATAAGAGCTTGATTAGCTGGTTCAGGTGTGTTTAATTGGGGTTGGAGCTAAACTCTGCAGGACACTGGCCCTCCAGGACCGAGTTTGGGCACCCCTGATCTAAACAATGACCCATAAGCACACGTTAGAGCTTCTATGAGTCAAACGTTTTAAAATTCAGTTGGTTATTCAGTCATGGTTATGACTCATAAAACTGCAGATTTTTCATGTTTAAGAGCTCTAGATGTTTTCAATAGTTGATGAAACTGCCTCAGTGATGAGAACCTTTATGAGTGTAGACCCTCATGTAGACCCTTAGGACAGAGATGTAGTACTGTTATAGGCAGTGTTCGAACTATACCGTGGACTTTGGGGGGGGGGGGGGGGGGAGATTCGTGCGCTTGCGCGTGCCTCAAAAGAATGACATACAGAGCTACATAACAGCTACATGTGTATGCACTACTTGCTTTATGCAAGCACTATATAGGATAAATCACTATACAGGATTTACCCTATTATACTTTATCGACACGAATTGATAGGTGAAACAACAAACAGCCACCCACTAATATTCTATAAACAAAGCATCAGGCTGTCTTTGAGTTCACATGAACAACAGTTAAAGTTACTCATCGTCAGG